TGAAGGGTGTTTTGCGGATTTGTGAGGCTTTCTTTTGGAATATCTCAATTTTGTTGGGGTGAGAAAGTCAATGAAAACAAAAATAAAATAGAATATTTCAATAATAGAAATCATTAATATCTATTTTTTCTATATTTCAATACTAGAAATTATTATTATATATATATACATATTAATAATTAAAATTGATTGTTTAAATCTATGTAAAATAATCTTGGTAAAAATGTGGAAATACCAATTTATAAAATAATTGTATTCTATATCGACTGTTTTTTTTTTTCAATAATTTTTTTGTATGCAACTAGTTCGCTTCGATATCTTGGCAAAAAAATATTTACTGATTTTTTTTTCATTATTTTCTATGTCACTAGTTCACTTCAATATCTTGGAAAAAACGATATTTGGGAGGGTAAAATTATTTTGAATTTCTAAAGACTTTTTTAAATTTTGTATTTAGAATTTTAAAAATCTTATAAAGTTATGAGCTATTTAACTTGTTTGACATTAGGTTTAGGGGTTAACAAAATCAAATCGAATCGAGCTATTCAGTGCGGTTCAGTTCGATTTGTTTTTTTTTCTATTGTAAAGAAATTTCGGTTAAGTTACTTTCTACATTAGGATGCGGTGCTTTTATAATTTTTCATAAGTTCGGTTTTCGATTTTGTTCGGTTCTGTGCGGTTTTGCATGGAACAGCACTGCACCAAATTGAATAAAATGTATAGAAAAGAAAAAAAAAGGATAAAACCGAAAATCGAGCCGAATCGTGCATTTCGATGCAGTTCGGTTCGGTTTCTTCTAAGTTGCGATGCGGTTCAGTTGTTTTTTTTAGGTTTGGTTTTTGGTTTTTTTTTTCGATTTGGTGCAGTTTTCGACCGAACCACACTGTTACTCACCCTAGGGTTTTTATAACTTTTTAAGACATTGTGAGATTTCAATTAAAAAAAACATATGCAAAATTTCATTTCAAATGAAATAAGATATTTAATTATTCTTCTTAAATATGAAAATGTTAAAAGGTTTCACTTCTCAAAAGTCTTAAAATATAACTCAAAATCACAAACAAATACACGTATAATGTTTCTTATTCCAAAATGACATGTATTTACTATGACGTAACAATTATATATGTATACTAGACTACTAGTACAATGCTCATGAATAACACGGGTGTTTGAGAAAAAAATTAATTGTGCAACAACAAATAAAAATTAATAAATTATAAATAATTATAAATTATAACATTGTGAAAAATTATAAATAATTAATAAATAATAAAAAATTTTGCAATATTATTTTAAATTAAAAAAATATTTTGTATGAAATATTATTTATTTTATTTAATATATATTTATTTTTTTCAATATTAAATAGAATAATTAATTTATTCTGCAGCCCATATAATGCCCGTGAACAACAGTAACGCACTAAAATAAAAATAAAATATTTATATAAAAATAAATAAGTAAAAAAATTTATATTCTTATATTATAATGATATGAAAATAAGTATAAAACTAATAATTAAAAAAATATCAAAGTTAACTATATAAAATAATACATGTATTTTACACTCGATTTGTTAAAAATACATTCTTTTAATATTACACACACACACACACACA